CTGATCAAATTAAATGATAGTTTAGCAATGTACAAGTAAGTTTGAAATCCTTTTGTGATTGAATTATGTCCCCCAAAAAGACATGCTCACTCCTACCTTTTAGTGCCTGTGATCTTATTTGAAAATAAAGTCTTTGCATATATAATTAAGATGCAAGCTAACATCATACTGCAGTAGAGTAGGGTCTTATTCTAGTAGGATTGCTGTTCTTTCATGAAGAGGAAATACCATGTAAAAAGACACCCACATGATACAGGGGCAAAGATAAAATTATACAGCTGCAGACTACAGAATGCCAAGGATTACGGGCCACAACCAGAAGCTACAAGACAGCGTAGGTCTACAGACAGCTTCATTTCAAACTTCTAGCTTCCAGATAGGTGAAGATAGATTTCCATTGTTCTAAGCCACCTACCTCATTCCTGGTGCTTTGCTTACAGCATTGTTAGTAGTTCCTGCCTCATCTGTGAGGGATGTGTTCTAAGACCTCTAGATTATTTTGAAATCACGAAAATTACAGAACCCTATATATTAGTTGAACACAAGCACTGCAATACCACAGTGGATTCTGTAAATGAAACAGTTGCTAAGCAATGAGCAGCATAGACAGCCTGAACATCCTGGACAAAGGGATGGTTCCCATCCTGAGTGGGATGAAGCAGGATAGTCCGCGATTTCATCACATGTCTCAGAACAGCATACAATTAAAAACTTGTGGACTGCTTATCTTTTGAGTTTTCCATGTAGAAAATTTTCAGGTAACTGAAACCATGGAAAGTGAAACTGAAACAATGAAAAGAAGAGGGTACCACAATTCCAATTTTAAATGTTCTACTTGATTGAATAAATTTAATTTCATAACATCATGGAATATAGTTGAGGAAATAGAATTTTACAATGTCTAAATGTGGCAGGATATTTGAAAAATCCCATAAATGGGACAACTTACTTGGTGGCTTTTATCTTAAGTATCTGTCAAAGAAGGACATACTGAAAGAACAGAAAACACCTAAGAATATGCAGTTGAAATACCTTGACATTTCTACAAGAAAATCTGAAATTGGGATATCCATTTGGCTGTTCACTCTGAGTTTACCAAGTGCTTTAGTTTGTTTTGATAAAGTATTTTTAAAACTATTACTATTATTAAACAAAACAGTTAAGTTGCAATTTGTAAGAAAATTGCAGGGAATTTAATTTTTAAATTAAGCATAAGATCTTATCAATAACTTTTCAGAAAATATTAGTATTGAAATATTAAAGGAAGATATAGCTAAAGAAACGGATTCAAGTCAATATATATCAAGAATAATTATTCAGCATGTTAAAAATCACAAATTAACATAAATTTTTAAATTTATAAGGATGTTATCTTTTGAAAATAGTTTGAGTAGAAACTATTTTATAGGTCCACTAATACATTTTTAATCCAATAAATACTTCAAATGTGCAATTTTCACTATTTTTATGCCCTCTTTTAACTTTCAAATATATGCTAATTTGGTCAAAAAATTATGTGGTCCCTTGCCATTAATGTATCAAAAGTGCAGTCAACTTGATCGTTTAGGTACTCTTCACACAACACACCTTCTCACAGTTTGTAGAGGTCTGCTTCCCCCAAAAGTCAGGAATGTTGTGATCATTTCCCAAGGAAGGCAGGACAGGAGCTCTTCCCAAATTTTCTCTCCTCCCCATACTTTCTCTTTCCTGTGGTATTGGGCTAGCCACTACATGGGGCTTCATTAGGAATCATTTCAGCACAGCAGAAGGGTCCTGGGAGGGGACAGTATTGGGCAGCTGTATGCAGTAAAAAATTGCTCATCTGAAGCCTTAACTTCTGAGTGTCAGCCAGGGTTCACCGTAAGCAGCCATAACAAGGTTAGGCAAACCGCTTAGCTCTCTGCAAGACATGTAATTTCCTCATCTGTACAATGGGAATACTCCCTGCTGATCTCATCTAAGAGGCTATGCTGCGGTTATTGACTAATTTGCAAAAATGGCTCTCGCTCTCTGTCATCTGTCTGTCTTCTCTTTCTGTTAAACAACAGATAGAGGCATATTTAGATAACTTAAGCAATATGAAAATAGGAAATCATTTGTACTTAGCACTGTTCCTATGAGTTTAATTACCTATACTTCCAGAAAACTGTGACCTTTGTAATTTATAGTTACTAGAACTAACACGGTGTTTAGTAAAATTAGAACAAAGTCAATTTGCAAAAAAAAAGAAAAAAGAAAATCATCCTATATCTGTTTCAATCTCATTTTTTTTTTTTTTGGTACTGGGGATCGAACTCAGGTCCTTGCACTTGTGCAGCAGGCAGCAAAACCGCTGAGCTAAATCCCAGGCCCTCAATCTCATTTTTAATCACAATTTTAATTAGGGCTTCAAGGAACCGTTTTAGGATCTATAAAGGTGAAAAAGCCCAATATAATCATTAGTAGTTCAAGGTTTTCTATGATGTTAACGTATACCATATTTCAATCATTTTGTGTTAGGCCATAATTTGATATTAAATTTAAGTAAATGATACCCAATATTTTAGTATTCTGAATCTTTAGATGGCCATTGGCTCAAGGCACACTCTTTAAGAAGCACTGTCGCAAAAACCTACTTAGAGTTCACATTAAATGAATAAATCTGGTTGGTACAATGTTGACAAGAACATGACTTGAGTTTGAGAGTTAATATTTCATATTTTCCAAGAACTAGTCATTAAAAAATAACAGGACAGTTAAGTAAATTAGAGACACAGATTTAATGTCATACAATGTACACATTAAGATGTTAATAAAGTAACAACATGGAAGCTTATGATGTGACGCTAAGTAGGGCAGCCACAGCCTTCTTGGATATACCCAGCCCTGAGAGTCTCTCCCGCTCTACTATTAAGGTAGGCTTAGGTTATGTTCCTTTCTCACCACAAAGTTTTCTATCAGGTAAGTAGCACTTTCTTAGCAGATTCAAATTGCACTTCTTAGAGAATCTCATTAGTTTCTAATTGTTCCTTCAATTTATCCCATTTACTTAACAGTTCAAATTCCACCCAAGTTTCTCTTCAAACTTCCTCCACCAACAACTTTAATCATCTCTAAACCCGACTATTTCAACAAAACCTTCTTTGAGCTCCCTGTGATTAATGGAAAGCATATGTGGCCACAGAAGACCATCTAGTGCCTTGACTTTCTTTTATTTTCCCCTGCTGTTTGTATCATCCCACCAGGGTATCAACAAGAATAACTCCAATCCACTTGAAAATCAAAAATTCAGATCACTAAGGAAATTGCTAAATTAAGACCACAACTAACAAGATACAACATTACTATCAGCCCCCTTTTCTCATCTACTGATCCATGCCCATCAGAAAGTTTGATTTTTTGGAGACAGTGCATTAGAATACAATGTCTCTAAACAACTGGGACACAACTGGCTGATAAAACTAGAATGTAATACACCAAACAGTGGATCATTTACTTCTGAATTAAGAACTGCTTAGAAATCAAAACTGTAGTCAGAGCGCTACTATATCTCACTTTCATTAGAATAGGTGCAGGACTAAGACAGGAAAACCACAACATCACATTGTCAACAAAGTAGAACATGATTTTGAGAAACTCCCTTTGTTAGCCAGTAGGACTAATTCTATCTTGGTTGAAATCAGTCTATAAAAAAGCAGCTTTGGTTAAGGTTCTAACTGGAGTCTGGGTCCTTCAAGCTTCATATGAGAATAAAAAGATCTTTAAATCAAATCATTCCACTGCAGAGATACAAATATTAAGTACTAGAAGGAAAGCCAGAAGCAAAATGAATAGTGTTACTGTTAAAACTTGTCTTTGTTAAACTATTAAACTCATCTACTCACTCTAAAAGACATGAATATTTGTCTTTTTTTTTTTTTTTTGGCACTGTGTCACTGAGCTAAATCCCCAGCCCTAGACATGAATATTTAAATAACATACATTAGTGTTTTTTATTCCAAAAATGGAAATTTTCTTTTAAAAATGCTGTAGCACCTTCCTGGCAAGCACAAGGTCCTGAGTTCAATCCCTGGTCCCATAAATAAATAAAATAAATAAATAAATAAATAAATGCTGGTCTAGCTGCAAATATAATGCTATTAGCAGGAGACATAAAGAAAGATGAAGCTTCCATTAAAAACTCTAGGCTGGTACACAAAATTCTACAGATGGTAAAAGAGACAATAGCATCTGTAAGGAGGGAAAAAAGAGAATTGAGCAGCAGGTAAACATGGAACAAATGCATGGAATTTCCATTTAGTTACTGAAATGAGTAGTCCAGGTGCAGAATCAAGGGTGGGATTTGGGGAGGTCCTGGTATGGGGCTGCAGGAACCTTCAAAGCAGTGAAGTAAAGGTCTGTACCATCCCCACCAGCCTCTATCCACTGAAAAGCACAGCATGCAATCACACGAGGTTTATAACCCAATTCAAAAACTCTTTACCCAACATGGCAAAATGTAAAACATTTAATCATTAAGAACATTTTTAAATTTCGCCTGTGTAGGTAATACATTCGAGAAATAAGTTACGACAAATAGAAGGGCTTACTTGACATTAATTTCCCCTCAATAAGAACTAATTTCTCATCCATACACAGGAAAAAAAATCACTGAAAGAGAAATGTTAAATAATACCTCAAGATTCCGTAATTTCCAAATTCTGTCAAATATTATTTCTTGAAATATTTATTTTTAAAAACTTCTCCCAAAATGTATGTACTTAATACATTCCATTATTATAGGTACGTAATTAAAAATACTATGAAAAATAATCTAAAACTTTCTAATTTAAGGCTCTAGGTAGCTCAGAAACTGGTGATAAATCGCTTAAATTAAAAGTCACTATCACTGGGGATTTTATCAAACTCGAAGACAATGTTTAGTAAAAATAATATTGAGGTGCAAATATTATGTCAACAGGAATGACATCAAATATAAATGACATCCACTATGAGGAACTATACAGCTAATGTATTTTTACAAATCTGTCTGCGGTGAGAACAGGTGGGGTGGCAGACAGTGGTGACCTCGGGAAGATGGACTCTCTCCTCTCTTCTGGTCCTGGAAGAAAAGAGAAAAACCAGTAGGCATCAACATGCAAGAGAGACCACATGCCCAAGGTATATCTCAACCTCACAACCACTCTCACCTCCAGATATTGCATCCAGCGCCAAGAGAGTATCAGAAGCATTACCCTGCCCTAACCTGACCAGTGCTGTCTAAAAAAACACTATAAAAATAATATCTGCTTTTATATAGTTAAAACGTGTATCAAGTGAGATGAAATGGAGCCAGGCTGAAAGTAATACTTCCTGTCATCTACATGAAAAAGAGCTTTCCAAAATAGCTTTCCAACATCTACACGAAAAATAGCATTCCAATAGTCTCACTGGACTCCACTACTGTAAATTATAAAGAAGCCATTAAGAGAAGACCTGAATTCTGCCTGAGTGGGTGTGTATGTGCTTGTGCGCAGGTACCACGCGGCTACAACCAAGTATCTGCGTTATAACTGCTGCTGTGACTCAGGTCAGGATAGGGAGACCGAGCAGTTCACGCGGAGCTGATGAACAGTGATTAATAACCTTGCACCATTTGACAGGGCTGGAAAGAAGCCCCCAAAGATTGGAAATTCAAAGAACAATGTTCTAAAGAAATAATTTAAGAATGACCGTAGTCAGTTCTGTCACAGAAATGGAATTGTGCAGACTCAGAGCAGAGCTCGCTGATTTTCAGAGCCAGGTGGAAGCTCTCACGCACGCCCCGCGAGGTCAAGGCAGAGCCCAGAGTCACCGTGTCCCTCATAGGTCTCTGTGAAGGACACAGTCATAGGAACCCTGGACGGCCCTGACATGGAATCATGTTTAATTTCAGTCACTCAAGACTGAGACCCGAACATGTGGGGGATAAACTTTCAAATTAAACAGCCCCCGTGCTGGCGCTCACGACTCCTCCCCACCACTGAGCTGGAAACGAGGATCCGAGGCGGCGCTGGGCGTCCGGTGTGGGCCAGGTGCCACACAGACAGTGCGACCCCGAGGGCTCGGGACCGTCCACGCCCCTCGCCACGGACACTACAGCGCAGACGCGCAACCAGGGTTTAGAGGGCGCCCCGGACGCGCGGCCCGTGCCCTACATGGGGACTTGGCGACGCCCGCGCCCCACACACCTCCCCCGCCGCGCCCCACGCACCTCGCCCGGCCACGCCCCGAAGGGCCCCGGATGGCGTCGCGCTCCCGCCCAGGAGGCCACGGAGCCACGAGAAGCCCCGGACCCCCAGGGCCATGCTGCGTTAGGTTTCCGGGCCGTGCCCCGCCCACAGCCCGTGGCCTGGTCTGTAGACCACGCCCACATACCCTGGCCCGCCCACATGCCTGGGCTCCGCCCCTTCGACCCCACCCACAGACTCAGGCCTCACCCATAAATTCTGATTCCCGCCCATAAGTTCGGGCTCTGCCCACAGCCACTCTATCCAGGCCATGGTTCTACGGTTCTGCGGAGGACTCACTTTCCCTGAGCTCTAGGTGGGGCACGGCCGGGCTCTGCTGACTCAGACATCGCCCCGCCGTCTCCCAGGCCGCAGCCATTGCTTCCCAAGCCCGAGCAGGTCCAGGGGCCTGGGAAGTGGAACGGGGTCTGCTGCCTTTCCCTGCCCCGCCGTGAGCCGAGCACTGCACAGACAGATGGAGCAGGGTCGGAGCCGGACGTCAGACAGCTCGTGTTGGCCTGGCACGCTCGCGGCCACTGGGGAGTCTACGCACACGACGCTCGTCTCAGTGGGCTGACAACGGGGCAGTGAGCAGGCCTCGCGCCCAGGTCGTGATATCCAGTGCCCTTCCACAGGAATTCATGGGGAAAGGCTTGGGTGTAGAACTGGATCGGGAAAGCCAGGCACTGGGTGCTCAAACCACCTGCATAGATGGGCAGTCAGAGGAGCAGGACAGGGCTGAGCAAAGGAGGGGGCCCTAGAATAGTTTGGAGTGGGTTAGGAAAAGAGAAGAGAGAATAACTTTACAAACAAGCCTGACAAACACTACCTCTGCCTGGTGATCAGGATCAACGCCAGTGCTGATGCTTCAAGTTGATCACACACACTCCGTACAGCTGGCTGACAATGGTACTTTGCTTCTGACGTCTTCCTCCAAACACCGAGAACCTCGGCCTAATAAATGGGGGAAATTATTTTTAAAATCCCAATAGAGGGGCATCCTACAGTTTACCTGAGCAGTACTCAAGCCAGTCAAGGTCATCAAAGAAAACAAGGTAAGTCCGTAAAGCTGTCTTACACAATAGCCCAGGATAAAGGGACAGAAAAAGGATATGTAAAAGCTTAGAAACTCTGAATAAAGTATGAACTTTAGCTAATAGTAATGTATCAGTACTGGTTCATTAATCATACCATATAATGTAAGATCTTAATAAAAGAAGTGCAAGTGCGCAGTACATGTGAACTCTTGATGCTGTCTTCCCAGTTGTTCTACAAATTTATAACTGTTTCAAAAAATACACTTAAAAACAAAAAGTAGGCAGGATTGGTCGCTATTAGAATCAATACTCGGAGAAACTATAATGGACTTTATCCCAGTTGCATTTATTGCAATTGATCAATATCCCCTCCGGGACTGAAAACTTAAGGGTTGATACCTTTTGCTTTTTTACCTTCCATGTGATTCTAGTATTGTTCAACATTTACAGGATTCATTTGAATCAGGAATGATAAAAGGACAATTAAAAAAAGCCAGCCAGTCACTAGAATAGCATAAAGAAAATGTTCTTTGATTATTCCAAATGTTTCAATGAAAACGAAGTCATCCTAAAGAGCAACTTAATGTCCCCTCGTTGTGTCCAAGTTGCTGCAAATAACAGAAATTCATTATTTTTATGGCTAAGTAATATTACACTGTACAGAAACACCACATTTTATTTATCATTCATCCCTACTAGACACCTCATTTGATTTCATATCTTAACTCTTATCAACTATTTCATTAAACATGAAAGTGCAGATATGTTTTTGATGTCCTGATTTCATTTCCTTTGGCTGTATACCTACTACTAGGATAGCTGTATCACATGCTAGTTCTATTTTTAATTTTTATTCCAAATAAAAATATTCTCTGAGCCCCTGCTGAATTACTGAGTCACATCCTTAATAAACTTTTGTGTTATCAGTCTTCTTGATTTTAATGACAAACACAGAATTCACTGAGTTCTTAATTTACATTACCTTGCCTACTAATGTGTGAAATATATTTTTATTTATTCACAATTCTAGTTGTCTATGAAATAAATTCTTTTGAAAGTTTATTGATAAAGAAATTACTTATGTTAAATATCAATACAATTTCAGTTGCATGGGTAATACATATTTTCTCTTTGTGGTTTTCCATTTACCTTTTAAGATTTTCAATGAACAAAGTCTCTTAACTGTAAAGTAGTTGCTGTAGTTTATGTCTAGATGTCCTCTGAAGCCTCAAGCTCTTGTAAGGTTTTTGGAAGATGATTGGATTATGAGGGTTTATACCTGACTTGCTGTTAAGATGTAGGGTCTGGTCACTGTGGGCATGACCTGGAAGGTTATCTTCCTCCTCCGCTCCTCCTTTCATTCTCTGCTTCCTGTCCACCATGCCAGGAGCAACTCCCCTCTGCCATGTCCCTTTGCCCTGCCATCTTGCCTTTCAGCCAGCCAACTGTAGACTGAAATGTGAGCCAAAATAAACTTCTTTACATTGCAGGTGTTCACTATTGTGTCCCAAGAATGAGGAGAGTGACTGAGACAGGTTTTAGTACCAGAAAAATGGACTTGTTGCTAGGATACTGCCTGACCATGTGGTTCAGAAGCTTTTGGAATTGGTTCACTACAGAAGTTTGGAAAGCTTTGGAGATAATAGTTGGAGAAGCCCTAGAATGCTGTGAGCTGAGCTTGACAGGAGATTCTGGTCAGCGCTCAGGTCAGAATGCTGACTAAAAAGGCAGATGGTAAAGACTAGGCTGAGGAGGTTTCAGTTGGGGACAAGAACTCCTTTGGCAGCTGGACTCGAGATCATTTTGTGCTATGCTCTGGTAGAAAATTTGTCTACATTTTGTTCATATCCTAAGACTTTGCAGGAGACTGAGTTAAGGGTGGTGGACTAATTAATCTGGCAAAAGAAATTTCAGGCAGCCCAACATTCAAGCTGTAGCATGGATACTATGGATACTTTTAGCCAGCTCTACATTGAAAAGCAAGAGCAAATGGCACAGTTGAGTGATTTTAAGTTTCATCAGAAAAGAAACTCCAATATAGTTAGGGCCTATAAAGCTTTGGCCAAGGAGAGCTTGGTTACTGGAAAGATTAGCATCAAAAAGAAGCCAAGTGGGCCAAGGATATATCTCAGTGGCACTCTGCCTGCCTGGTAAGTGCAAAGTCCTGAGTTCAGTTCCTAGTACTGAAAAAAAAAAAAAGCCAAGTACATTATATCATGACAACAGAAACAATACTTTAGGGTCCTGGGAATCAGCAAGACCACACCAATCACAGGCTAAAGGGTGCAAGGCTGTAATGCTTTCTTTTGGGAAGATAACCCGGGGCACCATGCTTGAGAAAGGCTGACAGACCTCCACCCCCAAGCGAGACCCCTGCCCAAGCAGATCTGCTACCCACATCCACAGGAGCACAGAGAAAACAAGAAGCCAGCAGCCGCCCTGCTGCTCTCACCACTGCCCTGTTTATCAGCCCGCCCCAGGCCCATCACCCCATGGGATTCTAAAATTGTCCACCCTCTTTAGCAGTCCCCTCCTCCCCTACCTAAAATGCCCTATATTAACCACAGGCACCCTCCTCTCAGTGCCAACGACCTTCTCACCCTTGGCCCATCTGTACCCAGATGGCAATAAACTCATCGTATGTTGCTTAGACTTTGCCTGCCTCGGTGATCTCAGCAGTTCCTCAGTCTAACCTTACAAAGGCCATCTAGGGAATTGGTTCACTTGGTTTTGGTTCCCAGGGCTCAGGTGGTCTGAGGCATCTGCAGCTATGACTCAAGAGGGCCTGGATACTGCTTGAGCTGGCAGCAGACATTGGCATAACCTATGAGGTGCTGGTTTTACTGGCATGCAGAATGCAGGAGTTATGGAGTTGGGGAGACTTCTACCCAGAGTTTGGAAGACCTAAGAAGTCAGGCAATGTGCTCCAGAGAGGGCAGTGCATGAAGGTGTGCAAGTGAAGCTGAAAGTGCAGTGGAGATCCCAGAAAGTTGGAAAGGCCAGAAATACAGACTTGAACTTATTTTTCAGCAGTGCTGAAACTGTTAAGACATTGGCAGTTCTTACAGATGAACTAAAAGCATTTTACAGAAACAGATGCACAGGAGTCTTTGGGGACCAGGGTTAGAATGTGATGGTTTAACGCTAGATATCCCACTAAAGCTCCATGTGCTCATAGTCAGGGCTTTTGGAAGGTGATTGGATTATGGGGGTTCATAGCTGACTCATAGTTATGAGAGAGGGACTAGTTGGAAGAGTCTGGTTATGAGGGGTGTGGCCTGGAAAGGTTTGTAATCCAATTTGTCAATCTTTTCTGGTTGGAGCTTTGTGTAATGTTGGAGCAATTATTCCATACTTTAAGATTACATAGCTATATTCCTATTAATTTACTGTAGAGTAGTGGTGACAAACCTATGACATGCGTGCTGCAGCATGCTGTTTTTTTCATTGAAAGCTCTAAAAGTTTTGCCATCACTGCTCTAGAGTGTTTAAAGATTTTTGTTTGTTTTGGTTTTGTTTTTTTGTTTTGAGACGGTGTCTCACTATGTAGTCCAGGCTGGCCTCAAACTTGCAGTGATCCTCCTGCCTCAGCCTCCCCCAGAGTGCTAGGATTACAGGTGTGCACCACCACACCCAGCTTGTATTTAAAATATTGAACTTTACATTTAAATATATAATTAATGCTTAAATTGACAAGGTGAGGTAGGGACCAAATATCACTTTTGTTAAATACAGACAGACAGCTGTATCAACAGGATTCATTTTCTCCTGTTCTGTCATTCTATTATTTATATAAAGTCTGCTCTGGTGCCCATTTTCCTAAATCAGATAATAGTAGTGGATGTGGTATAAATAAAGATTAGTGAACCTGAAGACATAGAAATTATAAAAAATGGAAAGGATACAGAAAAAACACCCCAAAACATCAATTCATCATTAAGCCGTAAAAGAACTTCAAGGCACCAAATAGAACATGACTATAGCTCTCAAAAGAGAGAGGGTAGGGAACAAAAGTATTTTCATGCCCTTGAATAGTGTTGCCTCTCTCTCTCTCTCTTTGGTAGCCTATCCTAATGGAATAGTGCAAAACAGAAAATGGTGTGCA